TGGAATGGTATGGACACAATAAACAGGATTATGACAGCTTATCAAATTTGCTCTATTTCGTAATAAAATATCCGCGGCTTGCGTGGCTCGTGCGTAAGAATGTAAGAAATGGTTAATCGTCGTATCGGAATGAGGGGGGAAATCATAGAATGTTTAAAACAGATACTGGAAGTGGATAAGAATTGTTTGTACTGACTTTTCGATGCCATGAATTTGATTTTCCATTCATCATCTTAATGAGTGCTATATTTGTCCGAAGGACTACGCAATATGAAAAAATTTCGATCACATGAATTTCTCTATCCGGCACATGATCTTGACACATTGGCTGATACAAGTTCCTGATTGATTACTTTGACCGGTTAGTATATTTCCATAATTACAGTACAGTCAATACTGCGATTCTTATACAGGAATTTCTCTGTACCGGATTGACTCGCGCACACTAGTTTCCAGCTTCAAGTAAAGAAAAAGCATAATTTGAAATTCAATTTCCCGCTTTGTAAGGTATCGGAGATTCTTGCCCATTAGATAGATGAAATTATAGAAATTTCGAGTACAGATTATTCTAGAATTGCTCTACAAAATAATCTTGTGCATTAGTGGGTTTGCAATCAGCACGCTCTTCGAAATGATTGACAGACATTTGTATAATGTCCGGCATAATCTTGTCTCATGTTATTCGTCCCGTTCTTACAATGTCGTAAAGAAGAAGGTACATGACAAAGGCGACACTAACATGTCACTATACTATACCGTATACAGTCAACTCTCTATTATAACGAGAGAGTCGGTATATAAAACTGTGTACACAGATAAATTGTCAATCTGATGTGTGATGTTGTAGACGACTTTGTTTCAAATGATTTATCTTTTCTTTTTCTATATCACGCAGTAATCGTCGTAAGAGCAACAGATCATCTCTACCAACTTCTATGTTGTCATTACGATTTTGTTCTAAAAACATTAGTGTTGTCTGAACGGCAGATTGTGCCTCGCTGTATGGAATGCTCTCTACTTCCTCGTTAGTGTTAGGGCTATCTGATGATTCACTATTCTCCTGAAGAACCAAATCGATTATCTCTTGTAGGTCTACATGATTTCGTGTAACTTGTGCCATCGCTGGTATACCGCCGTTATAAGGGGTAAGATTAATATGGAATTTTTTGGTTCTGCGAAATTGGACCAGTATAAAGGCAAAACCGGTATATGCAAGGCCGGTATCGAGAGAGTTGACTGTAGTATAAAAAATAATGATGCAGCCAATGTTTGTTTGAAAGGAACAAGAAAAAACGCTCGCTTACTTGCTTGATGAATTTGTCCACAATCCTTTCATACTATCTGTACTCCTGTAATACCGACTCGTCAAACTACAGTCCCCGGCGAAAAGAATGGCGGTGGAGATACCGCATGTATTTTTGGCCGCAACGTCACCATTTTTCGGAATCGGGGCATTGTTTATATTACCAAATTGGACAATGGATTGTTTATTTAATAAGTAAGCCGTAAACAATTAGGTTTGTTATTGTTTACGTTTCGTTTTTACGCGCTAAAAAATGCCAAGTCCTCTTGAAATCCAGCGAAATGCCGTTAAGTCACTTTGGCAACAAAACGTGCATAATGCAAAAGAAATTTCCTAACGATTGAATATCCCTTTACGCTCCTGTGAACGGTATGTCAGTAAATTACGTAAAACTGGCAATAATTCTATAAATCACTCAACTGGTCGCCCAAGAAAGTTGTCCCCCAAGAAACGCCGCCATATTGGAAAAATTTTGAAACACAATTACTTCACAACGGCAGGCGAACTTAAGGCTAAGCTGGAAGAAAATGACCCTGAGCTCGAGGTCAGTGAACGTACAATTCGTCGTGAGCTAACAAATCTCGGTTACGTTTCAATTCTTCCACGAAAAGTGCCTCTCTTAACCCAGAAAGCGAAGGACGTTCGCTTGTCTTGGGCACGTAAACATTTACATTACAACTGGAGGAAAGTTGTTTTTTCTGATGAAACAACACTCCAGATGTTTAGCAATACAATTAATGCATGGTCCCGTAATGCACAACCAGTCGCTCCTATGGTAAAACATCCATTCAAAGTTCACGTTTGGGCAGCGGTTAGTGTCAAAGGAAAAATCGGAATTCATCTGTTCACGGAAAATTTGGATCGTCATTTGTACCGGAGAATCCTTGACGATCATTTATACGACAATGCAAACATGTTACATGGCCGTAACTGGGTCTTTCAGCAAGACAATGACCCAAAACACACCTCACGAGATGTTCGGTGTGACTTGGAAGAACGTCTTCCAAAACGGGTTCTTTCTTGGCCTTCGTACAGCCCGGACCTGAATCCTATTGAGAATGTATGGGCCATTTTAAAGAGAAAAGTAGAGAAAAAGATCAAAAATCTAGTGGCAAAAAATAAAAAATCTCACAAGAGATTTTTCTTACCATAATCCGGCAGGAATGGGACGATCTCGACAATAATGTGTTACTTCGGTGCATCGAAAGCATGCCAGACCGGATTCAAGCATGCATCAATGCACAAGGAGGCCATACGAAATATTAGTCATATAATAAAAAACGTGTTAGTATCGTACTTCAAAATAATAATGAAAATTTTACGTATCTTTAAAAAATGCGTCCGCCATTCTTTTCGCCGGGGACTGTATGATGATGATAAGTTATAGTAACTTGATGTTATAATTATAGCCGGAAGTTTTGGGAAAAAACTCTTTTGCCGTCCCATAACAGCGGCAAGACGGAGGGAACGTATATAGCAGAAGTTGTGGCACCACTCATTAACGATCTTTTGTGGGACTTCAAGAATGATTATGAAATTACATGGTAATTACTTTTATTTAGCAAATTGTTCATTCTAAACATTAATTACAAACTTTTTTTACGAAGGGCGGAAGAATTAAGTGAGGGATCGAAGGAACGAAAGAAAGAGTCTGGGAAAAAACCAGATTATAGAATGAAGTTAAAAGTTATGGGTGACCCATACGAGGTTGTATTGCTAGAAAGCTCCCGGATAGAGGCGGATGATCAAAAAATAATGAATAATAAACAGAAGCTCTTCCGTATGTTGAAAGACGCTTACGTTCGCTTTACAAAAAAGATGGTGAATAAAGTTTCAAGTTCAGAAAAAAATACAGTCTTGCGAAAAATAGAAAAAGTAATAATTATTGGAATACAGCTAGCCGGTAAGTGTGTTCATTTATTACTTCCCTGATGTGTTTGAATTAACATTAAATTGTCAACAGGGAGAAACATAGAATTGACAGAGATTGATATGCCGTTCAGGGCATTTTACCGGATACGAAAGCTGTGTACTCTGTCAATTCCGCTTGATCCGAGATCACGTCCACGGAAACGCTAACGAAATTTTTTGAGGGACTTTTTCGCTTACGGGTACGATTTTTTACTATATTTATTATTTTTCTAAACCAAAGCTTATAATAACATTTTTATTTAGGATGTCATTGAGAGACAAAGTCTACAAAAAATGAAAGACGTAGCTAAGGAGATACAGAAAATAAAGGAGAAGGTTGATGATTCTTATCAAAGCGACTTGGGTAAGACTTATGACGATGACACGGACGATGATGATGACGATGAGGATGATGACGATGAGGATGATGACGATGAGGACGATGACGATGAGGATGATGACATTGACGATGATGACAATAGTAGTGACGATGCCGATTACATTGATAGTCAAGAAGAAGATATTGACGACTATATCAGTGACGGAATTATTACTGATGATGACAGTTATAGTAGAAAATCTATCGCGTTGCTAGCCACTCCAAATACGCCCCAAAAGAAATTCGCTAAGCAATAGAATATCTACAGCAAAAATTGAAGACTCATTTGTTATGTATTTGTAGTCGATAAAACGTGTCTTGATTAAAGGATATATTGTTACCAGGTGTCATAAATCTTTACGACTCCATTGTCTCGTATTAATAAGCAGGCGTTTGCTGGTAACAGGAAATAAAACCAATCAGTAATACACAATAGTAAACAAAGCTATAAATAAACCTCAATGACATCAGAAGGACTAAATGCGCAATCCGTTATCACAACATACTATCATATTAAGCATCAGTCAAGAAATGGATGAACATAATACATTCTCAGAACAAGGGTGAACGCCTCATATTCCCGAACACGCGATGGTATAGGGGTGAACAGAAAAGCATTCCCAAGTTCCTCACAACGCATCATATTCCCGATTCTGACATCATTTGCTTCACTATTGGTACTATTAAGCATCAGTTAAGAGAGATACATTATTAGAACAAGGGTGAACGCCTCATATTCCCGAACACGCGATGGTATAGGGGTGAACAGAAAAGCATTCCCAAGTTCCTTACAACGCATCATATTCCCGATTCTAATAAATGACATCATTTGCTTCTCTTATCTTTAAACCTCATATTCCCGATTGGCAAAATAGCTTATTTTTCGTCATCTCTTTAGATAGAGTCCATATCTGAGACAAATACGTACCAGCGAGTTCTGAGACAGAGTTCAGCGAAATGATAAACCAGCAACAACGCAAGCGATATCATGTAAACAATCTTGCCGATCACTTGTAAACAAACACGCGCCCGGACTAGGCTTATCTTGTGTAACAATTAGGACGTGATAAGAGCGTAAGTATATTATTTGTACACAGTAAAGACTAAAGTGGCCTTAATTACGAAAATAACTTTAACTCCGTGGGTTTGCCTTGCGTAACCATTAATTATAATGCGGTGTTACAAAGTTGTATTACCAAAAATTTTTTTATATATTACATGAGTTTTAGTTGCTGAACCAGCGTCACAAAATGACATTTGTACAAGAACTTCCCTTATCTTCTCCGCGAGATACTGTTGCAAACAGAATTAAGTGTATTACAGAAAATTTCCCTTCTGAGAGTTAATAGTGTATGGTTCAAAGTGATAGCTTCTCTTATCTGGTCGAACCCCAATTGTCATCCTACGATGTTACCGCCATTCAACATGTTTGTTCGCTCATTGGGGTTAGATGATACTACTAAGACTTCAACGCTTCTGCCGTACGCCAATTACCTGAAAGATCTTGATTACGTATGGTTAATAAAATCGACGGAGAAATATATTATTGACCACCCGAAATTACCCAAGTTTTTGGAAAAACTGACAACACAGATCCTGGAGAAGTTGAAGGACGCGCCGGTCAAATTAACATCTTTGAGAATTCCATATCAACAGAATTGTTCACTGGATAATGCTATCTACTTGTTGCTTCCCGCCGAATTTTCAACACTTATTTCTGGTATAACAGAACTTGTAATCGCATCTGAGTCTCCAAAATGCAAGTTTATTAAAAAACTCTCCGAGACTTGTTATTCTTGTACTAGTATTGAGTTGACATTAGGCTGCGGCAACTATGTTGAAATTGAAGATGAAATGGAAGCTTTGGAATGCTAATCGAGTCTCAACAGAATTTAAGAACTGCTGCATTTCAATTACTTGGATGGGACTCTTACGCATGCAGTATCAAAGTGTTCCTACAGGCACTAAATCGTCATGCTAATTCGTTGGAAAAGCTAAATTTCTCAACTCAAACTATATATGATAGTTGGGTCAAGGAAAAAGAGCCTCTTATTAATTTTACTAATCGGTGGATCAAACAATTGTTTTTCGATCTGAGCACTTCCGATGACAACGAGACGACGATGACAGGGGATGTGGGCCAACACAACTTATAAAATATGGGTTTGACTACACACGACAAGGGGCGTGGGCTATTTCTATCCCCACAACTTATAAAATATGAAGTTGACTTACAACAGTTTAAGATCTATATAAAAATTATTTATCAAAGTTTTTCTATTTCATTCGTTTTTATTTAAGATCTATAGTATTGACTTAAATTATTTATTAAAGTTTTTCTATTTGATTCGCTTATACAACAAATTTTATTTAAGATCTATATTAATATAATATTGACCTAAAATTATTTATCAAAGTTTTTCTATTTGATTCGTTTATACAACAAATTTTTATTTAGTATTGACTTAAAATTATTTATCCTATTTGATTTGTTTATACAACACTTAAGATCTATATAGTATTGACTTAAAATTATTTATCAAAGTTTTTCTATTTGATTCGTTTATACAACAAATTTTTATTATTATTATTATCAAAGTTTTTTATTGATTCGTTTATACAACAAATTTTTATTTAAGATCTATAGTTATCTTCCTTTCGGAACCGATAATATGTCTCATTTTTGAAGATAGTCGTTGTTTTCCATTCGTTTTTTATTTAAGATCTATATATTAAAAATTTTTGATTCGTTTTTTAGCGTAAGTATATTAGACACTTCAAAAGGAGGCTTTCAGTTGATATGATAATTTTTGATAAATTACGGTTCTAGATAAAGAAACTATTATGACAAAAAATAAAATTTATTATTCAGGATTTTGAGAATATACAATTGCAGCATTTAGCTAACGCCTTTGTACCATATTAATTATGCATTACACAAACCAAATGTAGATTTTTGTAATCGGTATCACGAAACTGTCAGAATTGTCAAGGAATCAATAAAAGCAACCCCAATTTTCATTTGGGTTCTAATTCTAACCAGAACGTAGTACGGTTTTCGCTGTCAGTTCTATCCCATTCTTGTATGCATTATAATGATGATCAACAAGCTTCACTATCTCTTACCGTTGGTTCTTATTTCCAGTTTTTTTACAAGCATTCGGGCTTTTGATTATTATTCGGTGTACGAAGACACTGATAATCTTCAATTCCTTGGCGAGATGTCTAATGGCTTTACATATCCGGATGGCACAGGGTTGATGCAATTATTTCGTTTTGTCAATAATTCGGATATTTATGATGGCAATTTGTATATACGTCTGCTACATCCAAATGGCTCGTTGACCTAATTTACCGTACCAATGACATACGAGTATAATTATTTGCCCACCAGACCGATTGCTTTCCCCCTTAATGACGGATATGTGTTTGTAGCGCAGCAAAACAACAGCATTATACATGGCGAGTTTATACATGGCGACTTAGTTGATTGGAGTGGTCGGGTACTACAAAGGTAAGGATTAGGGGTTAGGAGGAAGTGGATGAGAGCTTAGAATGAGGGAAATTGGTAGATGAACTGAAACTCTGTGTTGTATTAATTAACGTATTTTGTATTCATGGGATAGTGTAATGCTTTTCAATGGTTTTTCCTTCGTCGATACTACAACTGACGTTAATCCTGATAAGGGCTTTCTTGTAACAATACGGAGTTTCCCTGAAATTCAGTGGAAAATTTTTAGTGCACCGTGAGTATATATAGACATTAAATTTTGGCAATTACAGAGAAAACCCTCTAAGTGCACACCATTGGGACCAGACCATCGTGTGCATTTAGAGGAAATGGTAATTCGTGTAACACCATTAATTATAATAGGGATGATATTAATATTAATATTAATATATTTATTTATTATTGATTAAAATATTGATTTATGGTTGTTTGTCTCATTTGACTA